CCAGAATTCCCCAGCCAGCATGGAATTCTGGGAGTTGAAGTCCACACATCTTAAAGTTGCCAAGGTTGAGATACGCTGTTTTAGAGAGTTGTGGTGTCACGAAGTTGGAGCGTCTCTTGATTAATCGATATTGCTAGTGAATTCTTTTAATTCGAGCTGATTTGCAGAATCATTTTAAGGCAGGGGCATTTAACTGAGTTGTGCCTGAGAGAGGAATTGAATGACTCATATTTTTTATGGCTCAATGCTGAACCTTTTATTGACATTCCAGCAAACAGCACCGGGCACCAGAGAGACCCCACCCTGCCCTTTATCTCTTGGAACAATTTGCTTTCTCAAATGTGCCTTTCAGCAGAGAAGTGGAACCTCTGCTCTAAGTTATGTGAACTGCACTTCCCTTTTTCAAAAAATAATGTTATTAAAAGATTTTACATGGATAATAAGAAATACATTCCAAGAAAGAAAAAAAAGAAAAGAAAAAATATATAACAAAGTAAATGTGAAAAAGAAAAGAAAAGAAAAAATAACAAAGTAAATGTGAAAAAGAAAAGAAAAGAAAAAGAGAGAAAAGAAGGTAGAAAAAAGAAGAAAAAAGCAGAAAGCATGGGGGAAGAAGGAAGGAAGGGAGGAAGGAAGGAAGGAAGGAAGGAAGGAAGGAAGGAAGGAAGGAGAAAAGGAAGGAAGGAAGGAGAAAAGGAAGGAAGGAAGGAGAAAAGGAAGGAAGGAAGGACAAGTAGAGGGAAGGAAGGAAGGAAGGAAGGAAGGAAGGAAGGAAGGAAGGAAGGAAGGAAGGAAGGAAGGAAGGAAGGAGAAAAGGAAGGAAGGAAGGAGAAAAGGAAGGAAGGAAGGAGAAAAGGAAGGAAGGAAGGACAAGTAGAGGGAAGGAAGGAAGGAAGGAAGGAAGGAAGGAAGGAAGGAAGGAAGGAAGGAAGGAAGGAAGGAAGGAAGGGGCTTTCAATATCCCTCTTGGCAGTTATACATACAATTCTAATCAAACCATTCTCTCCAATTTCATCCTAATTCCGTTCTTTCTATAACCTCTTCTTTCTAATCATCAAAACCCTAAATCACAAAATCATTTTCTTCCCCACGCAAAAAGCCCATAATGGGTTTCCAGTCATTGATAAATGTCAGTAATGAACTTTCTCTAATCAGAGAAGTCAATTTGTGCATCTCAACACATTCTGTCAATTTCACCAGCCATTCCTCCACGGTGGGTAACCCTAAATCTTTCCACCTTGGAGCATGTAGTAATCTCGCCGCCGTGATCATATATTGAAATAATCTTCCATGGCTCTTTTCGAATTGTTTATCCATCAACCCTAAAAGGAAAAGTTCTGGCTTCAATTAAATATTAATCTTTAAAATCCTCTATCTCAATGTATGTATTTGAATCCAAATTTTTGTAACGTGAACTGCCGTTCCCAGCAGCCTTTGCAAACTTGGCCGAATGTGAGGGATGCTGGGAGTTGGAGTTCTGCAACAGGTGGGGGGGCCTGCAGGTGGCCAGGGGCACCAGAAGTGACTGGGGATGGTTGCACATCCCTGCAAGCCATGATATGGTTGGCTTGATCTTGGCTTAGATCATGTGAACCCAACCCTTGCAGTTCATGGCGTAGGGGATGATGGTTGCCCAAGTCCTGGCTTCAGGCACGGGTGTGAATCCAGCCACGAGCAAAGTACGCATCGAAACAATGCTAATGTGAGAATAAAAGGAACCAAATTGCAGAATAATTGAAGACGGGATTGGCCAGGCCTTCCGTGTTGCATCCTCTGGAGATGACGTCCCAGTTAGTTGGCGCCAGAGAACGCAGATACTTTTCTCGTGGCTAATAGCTTGCAATTTCCTATCGTCCCCAAAGGAGAATTAGGGTGTAACAAAAGCATTTCTGTGCTCACTTTGGAAAGCGAAAAGCTCACACAGCAGGCGGCCTCTTCGATTTTTTCTCTTTTTCTAAGGCAGGACAGCTGCAGGGTGGGTTTTGTTCGTTTTGCAAAAAGAAAGCTTTGCAAAAAAAACAAAACAAAACTTGATTTGGTGCGCATTGACCTCGAGTTCAGCTCATGGACCTTTAGGCATAGATTTACGACAGTTCCCCTTGGATCACGTTAGAGATTCCAGTTGGGGAATAATGTTGGAGGCTGGCCAAGGTCCTCGGGGGCTTGAAATTGTGCGCCTCTGATTTAAACGGGGGATCTTTAAATAAATGTAAATGTAAATGTGGGATCCTCTGGATTGTTGGCTCCAGCGTCTGATCTTTCTGACTTTCGTTCTGTTTCTGTCAGCCTGGGGAGGTGGTCCCAACAGGAAGCTTGCCCAGATGAATGAATTCTGCTTTATCGTAAGGTTCCATTAAGAGAATCGTGCAGGTCTGAAAGGACGTCTCTCTCCCGTCGCTTTTGCAGCCCGAGAAACTGGGGAGGGTCCCTCGTGAGACATTTACCACGCCCCCGTTTCTTCTGTAGGCTCAGCTGCCTCTTCTCTGACCATTTTCTAGTCTGAGACATTTACCACTTGCCCCATTCCTACCTCTTTTCTGACTTGTCTAGGCTGAGACGATTACCACGCCCCCATTCCTTCTGCAGGCTCAGCTGCCGCTTATCTAACCTAGTCTGCAGCTCTTCCTCCTGTCTCCCAAGGTCATTCCCACAGACGTTTACCATGCCCCCATTCCTTCTGCGGGCTCAGCTGCCGCTTATCTAACCTAGTCTGCGGCTCTTCCTCCTATCTTCCAAGGTCATTCCCACAGACATTTACTACGGCCCCATTCCATTTGCGGGCTCAGCTGCCGCTTATCCTAGTCTGCAGCTCTTCCTCCTGTCTCCCAAGGTCATTCCCACAGACGTTTACCATGCCCCCATTCCTTCTGCGGGCTCAGCTGCCGCTTATCTAACCTAGTCTGCGGCTCTTCCTCCTATCTTCCAAGGTCATTCCCACAGACATTTACTACGGCCCCATTCCATTTGCGGGCTCAGCTGCCGCTTATCTAACCTAGTCTGCGGCTCTTCCTCCTGTCTCCCAAGGTCATTCCCACAGACCGTTACCGTTTCCCCCCTTTTCCCTCTAGCTGGGCAGCTGACGGGCAATTCTTCCGTGGAAATGTACCGGCAGGTCCTCTTAAGCGGGTGCCGCTGTATTGAACTTGATTGCTGGAAGGGACGTCCCCAAGAGGAAGAGCCTTTCATCACCCACGGCTTCACCATGACGACGGAAATCCCCTTCAAGGTACTCTTTTGACTCCCCTGGGTAGTTTCCCTTCCTGGAGGGCAAGAGAACCCTCACCCACCCCCTTTGCAATCCAGTCTTTCTTCTTAAGATTAGAAACATGGAATCATGCAGTCAAATGGGGTCTGAGAGGTCATCTAGTCCAACCCCCCTCAAGGCAGGAACCTCTAAGGCAGTGTTTCTCAACCTTGGCGACTTTAAGAGGAGTGGACTTCAACTCCCAGAATTCCCCAGAGTTGTCCGATAAACGTAATGAAACCGATATGATATGGGCCAGTGTTTCTCAACCTTGGCCACTTGAAGATGGGTGGACTTCAACTCCCAGAATTCCCCAGAGTTGTCCGATAAACGTAATGAAACCGATATGATATGGGCCAGTGTTTCTCAACCTTGGCCACTTGAAGATGGGTGGACTTCAACTCCCAGAATTCCCCAGAGTTGTCCGATAAACGTAATGAAACCGATA